TCCTTGTGGAAGATGAATAAGACAAGTACAATACTTGATTAATTTTTCATATTATTAAAACAAAAAGGCTGAAAAGTCTCAATGAAAATATCTCATGAAGGTACGTTCTTCTTCAGATTAATCACTCAGCTTTAAATAATGAGTCTATAGTATGTGGAGGAGTGTATAACTACTTACACCATGCGAGTATGTGGGTAACCCTCCCATAAGAAAGTAGGATTTGTTGCAAAGTCCTCCTGCGTGAGAAAGAGAGACACTGCATGAGATGAGGTCTAATGCAGGCTGAGACAATGCACCTCTTGGTTTCTGATGCTGGTACCGCTGTTAGGATGCTGCAGCCCCAGATGAAGGAGAACAGATAGAACGCTGCGAGCTGCCCGGACTCATTGAACTTGCTGTGCTTGGTTTTTGACAGGTGCAACCTCCTGTTCATTTTCTGAAATAAAAGTAAAAACAGACAACCTAATGAACACAATGCCACAGACCTAAGTGTTAAATTAAAAAACAAAATTGGGCTGACACTTTTTAACTCTACCTGGTAAAGACAGGAGTCAGAGTGGGGTGACAAAGTCCCTGCTTCATAAACTTTAAGAGCATTAGGAGTGGTTCTGCTGACAGTCAGGATGAACTGGAGAAACTCTGCGATTTTAAAACCCGTTTAAAAATCATGGACTATTGTTTTAAGAGGTATGAAAATTGCGATTCTATCCTTTAAGAGTAAAGGACCAGAAAAATTTACCCTTCTGTTATATCTGTTACATGTTGTCCAAAAGAGATTTTGAGGTAAAAATACATCTAACAACATTCTTTTCTCCTGCTGAGAACGATTATCAAAGCCATAAGCTGTCAGGAGAAACATGAGCGTTGTTTCAGTCACTGTGCTTTAATGAACGCACAAGCAAGGACGGAAGGATGGAATTTGATCACCAACAAAAAGAATAGGGACATAACGGAGGCGACACATGTGGCAGTGGAGACTCTGCTACGTTGATCCTTTTGAAATGAAACTCTAAAGACCATTGTAAAGTACTGTACGCACGGGTTCCTTCCGCCATTGTGATTTGCTTTAAAAGGGCATGTACACAAGCTGTTAAAGGGGAGACCGAGTTATTGTTAAGCACAGTTCTGGTTTTATTTACGACATCAAAAACAAGCCCGTTTCAAAAGAGGGAGAAAAAAGGTCAGGCGTCAAGCCGATGTACTCACGTCAAGAATATATTCTTGTATCAAGGCATGAAGGATGACTGCAATAAGAAGGTAAAAAAACACAGTGGCCACATCTTTAGGGCCATACTGGTAAAGGTTGACTGGGTCGCTTTTCTCATCTGCAAAGAGGACAAGAAAAGAAAAACAAGAAAAAACATAAATAAGGTGAAGCACTTAAAACCTACAAAGCAGCGTTTCATTTTATTCAGGTAATTTCAGGCTTAACCCTGGTTTTTCAGTACCACACAGGTGGAACACTTCTTACCGGGAAGTGAACCAGCTATGAAGCTAACCTGTTATGGAGCAGGTCAAGTTTCAGTTTAGAGATCAACAGGTATGAAATCACCACCTACTGACTAATGAATTCTCCAGAATGTACTGACTCTGTTCCTGGAAGACGCCTTTGACCTATGTGCTCAGATAGCAGGAGAGTCTAAAGTTTTTTTAACAGCATCTGAAGTCTTTGTGTTTCCCTGAAGCGCATCAGTTTCCGCTCTCAGAGGTAATTTTTTTTGCTCATTGGTGTCAAAAAAAGTAAAACAATTTCATTGTTCTATAAGCATCAACATAAGATCCTAAAATGGAAAAGAACTGATACCAAATTTGCACGTCGCCTAAGCAAAAATCTAAAAACAGAATTCAAATGTATTCATTACACGCAGACTGTTAAACACCATCAAGGCCACAGCTGAAAGAACAAAACTAAAACTCTTTTAAACATCATTTTTAACAAAATACTCAATTATAATCCATCGGGTTCTTACCTGTCTTAATGACAGAGCTGTTATATTGATACGCGTGTTAAATTACACAGTCGTTATTCCAGCTTTCTTTCCTGGCTTTGAATGGGCCAAACTTTATTAATAGCGCAGCTTCTTTCTAGTTTTACTGACCAAAGTGCTGATAACACACTTTTACAATGTGAGTCTACAGCGCTTTTCTTCTCACACACTGCTGTTTTTCCCCCCCCCCAGTGTGCATTTTGTGTTCAACCTCTAGTTTAATCTTTCTTTAGAGTGTAAATAAATAAAGGTTTTTGCCAGAACACTTATAAACAGCTGTGATTGGTCAGATGCTGCCAACGTGTGACTGTGCAGGGGAAACCCTGGGTTAACTTAGAGAGTTGATAACTAGCTTTGTGGGACTGCTTAGCCTGGCTTCCAGCGTTAAGCTGAGTTAACCCAGATAACAGAAATGTATCCTGGGTATGTTGAACTCACTTTGTAGCACAGGCCTCAGAACAGTGAAAGGGTGCAATAATAGACAGAATAATATAGGCTCACCAAGAACTTGAGTTACGTTGTACTGAACTGTGATGAACATGATGGCAAACTTTGCTGTGACCTGTAATGACAAGAAAACACTTTGATTATTGATGAATTCATTGGGATGCAATGCAGTAAACTTTACCTCAATCAGAGGTTCACAACTGAATCGCACCAATGCATCTAGCTCACAGTTTTGTTATCAGCAGTGAAAAATGAAGAAATGTGAGGAGTGAGTGCTGCAGAGCAGCTACAGCATGTGGAATTCCACTTATTCTCATAATTGGGGTCTAGAGACCTCCAGGAGCTGCCTGCAGGGGCTCCCAGGGGTCTTCACTACCACTGGCACAATGACTCAGTATAGGTGCATCAGGGAAATTCAGCTAAGATGTTTTTAATTAATAAATCATAAAATTCAATATATTCACACAGAGTATTAAAAAAAAGTTGATTTGGAAAGTGGAGAGACATTTCCCGTCTGGAAGCAGGGTTTGGGTGTGGACATGTTTGATGAAGGAAATCCATCTTAGTCCTTTCAAATATGGCTAGGTACTAGTCAGCTGTGGCGAATCAAAAGGCTGGTAATCAAATGTGTGGCACGCAGGCAGATATTTCCTGACCATCCTGTTGTCAAAAGCCAGAGAGAGGCAGTGCATTAGTCTAGAGTGGTGGTAAGATGACCTGTTAGCTGTGCCAATGGGCCTCCTTACCATCTTCTTTGGCAATCAGTTAGACACATGAGAAGGTAAGGAGAAAGACACGCTAGCGCCCTGTCACTGGAGTGCTGCTGTCATCCCAGCTAGCGAGAGTTAGCATCAGCTAACATAAATCGACTAAGTACAACAGCTCGTCCAGTCACACTGTACCTCAAACATCAGGCCAAGGAGGATGATCATGGCCAGGCACGACACCATATCGGCGTGATTCTGGATCACAAACTCGTGGCTCAGCACCGGTGGGCTCTTGTTCTTCTTGCGGAAACCCATGGCTCACCGACTCTGCCTGGCTCCGGGCTGCTGTCACTGAGTCTAAGCGGGGTTGGAGCTAGCTTCCCCTGCTGCACTGCTGCTGGCCTCCTGGCCTCAACAGACGGATGCTCGCTCTGCTCTGGGACGATCCCTCCGCCGTAGTCCGCAAGCACAGTGAACCGCTGCTCGTGTGTTTAGTAGCAGACATGAAGACGCATCGCACCGAGCCAAACACCACAGCACAACACCCACTTTATTCCTGCTGCCCGCTGAAGTCAGATGACGGGCCCTCCCACTTCGAAACCCCATTCATGAACCGCCCAGTGTCATTGACGTAGAAGGAGAACCCGGGCCCGTGGTGCCTTCACGTTCCCCACGTAAGCGCGCTCCAGGTTTCAGGAAATGCAGGCAGAGAGATGCTAAATCACCACGTATGGTGATGCATTAAAGACTTACTGTTATTTTAAATGATTGGCGTGTTTGAAAATTATACTGTCTACCAAAATAGCAGCTGGTGATGACTAGTTACACTCCCGGAAGCCAGCAGGGGGTGTGACCAGATTTTTTTTTAAGTCAAAGTAGGCCAAAGAATATGTTCCTGTGGACAATTTGACTAATGGTTACAGAAAACTTTCACACAGTCATTGTGTGGGGCACGTTGTCGGGTTATCTGACAAAATAAATAGGTACAAATTATGCAGGATAGGGATTAAATGCATATTTCTAACTTCTTGAGGGCATAAGTGGAAGCAACAGTGTGCTTTATGGTTTGTGATGATTTTTGTACACTTTTGTTTTGCAGTAAGTGTTAAAGCTATCATCTTCGAGTTTCAATAGGGATGCATACCATGTCATCCTACTCTCTCAATATGTGTATGCAGTTTCAAACGGAGCTGGATACTTACTTTTGAATCATGTAATCATATACAATCAATTATATTCAATCTCTTTCAAGCATTCAACTCTGTCTCAATCATGCTTGGAACTCAGAGTCACAGGGGAATTTTTTTTTATTGTTATGTGCCTAACATTATATTTAAAGAAATCCGAATTATTGTGATGCTGTGGGACCCCAAGTAAAAAGCATCTCATTCTGCATTTGCATCTTTAACATATGAAACAATCTGCTGAGTTAAAACCTCTGTACACCTTCAAATGACTGCTAGTCACAGATACAGCAGACACATTTCCTATATGCTGACCTAAATTGTGTCCTATAACTGCACTTATTGTTTGGTGTCCACTATTTTATGTAAACACCAGTAAATTTACCTTGTGAATATTGTTTAAATTACAGTTATTTAAAAAAATTAAAAAAAATTCCTCTTTTCAAACTGTAGTTGAGGATATGTAAATGTAAAACGCTTTAATATGGTGATGATATGTTATCATATTACATGAATTAATTCATAAGATGATTTATTAAGTAAATAATCCACTATATAAAGGAGTAATGGTGTGGTGAGGACAAATATATTTTAAATACATTTCTTACTTAAATCAAGCTTAAATCATTTTAAGTTTTAAATAGAAATTGTCGGAGAGACCGGAAGTTAAATTTGGTAAACGATGGTATAATCTGAAAAAGGTCAACTAGAGGTAAAGTCGCTTGCCAGGTAGTAAGTCTTTTGATTCTGTATTTAATGTTAAGAATATATTGTTTGTAATTATAATATAATTTCTTCTAATTTCAGAGGGATAATTTTGTGTCAGAGGTTAGCAAACATGTTAACACATGGTCGCTTACATTTGTGACAGCTAACCGTCGACAATTAATTTTAACCTTCATTGATTTTTATTTTTTAATTTAGTTTTTATCGGCGGTGTTATTCGTCTAAAGAAGCAAGTCCCTATATATACACAATTCTATTCGTTTTTTGTTCAAATCCAGGCGCTGTGTGTTTAACACTAACGTGTTTAGACTTGTTAGCTAACTTCCCAACAATTTTTTTTTAACTTCCCAACAATTTAAACAGAATTCCACGTTCATTTTATCTCCTTGCATCATGGCACCAGAGGGCAGTATGAGACAGACCGGAGAGAACTGCACGTAGCCGTTCGAGTACAACGTGTGTACAAAAGATATAATGTTTAGTTCAGGTCATTTTCTCTAATTTGGGTGAAATTTCTAAACGGCGATGTGTTTCATCAGCGCCCGGCTAGCTCAGTCGGTAGAGCATGAGACTCTTAATCTCAGGGTCGTGGGTTCGAGCCCCACGTTGGGCGGAAGTCTTTTTTTCCTTCTGTGTGCTTCACTTCCCCAAATCACAAGAGCACAGGCCTCCATTGTGCTTACACGGAAATCAGAGACAAGTTGATCCGCCGCGAGTCTGCTCTGCTTTATAACTAATCAAAAATTACTTGGCCATAGTTTGTGCAAGTCTTGGTTTTCTTTTCAAATTCATCACCCTACTTTACAATGTTTGAAATGTAAATTAGCCTTACTTGGAGGAGAAAAATGTTGCTGAAAAAAGCCCCCAAAGTGGTTAAAGGAAGTTCAAAAAAGATAATTGAGGTGTAATTTTTAGTGCTTGTAATACCGATAAGCAACATATGGCAATATTTATATATCACGACATATTTTATGTTTAATTTAATGAAGTCCTATGCATTGAACACATTTTTCTAGTATTCAAATACTGCTTTGAATTCTACATAAGAGTATATAAAAATAGACTTTTCATCACATCAAATTAAAGCCTTACAAATGACCCAAGATCAGACTCAACAAATGAGATAAAGCAAAAAGGAACGTGCATGTGTTCCTCAGAATGAATTGTTATATTGTATTGCCTAATAATCTATATATTTTACTCTTTATCTGGTCATAGATGGGTCTGCTGAAAGTCAGACGGGACCACATCTGGTAACTGATCAAGCTTATCAGGTAATCACTCGTACACAGTATTTTTGCATATGGTTTGTTTAACTGGCCATTATTCATATATACATAATAAAAAGCGAGGGTTAGCTTCTTTAGGATTAAATACAAGTATATCATTTCTTATATAATTTTTTATGGTGTTCTGTTTTTTGATGGCTGAAATGTCCGAATAGAATAACAGCTTTAGCCTCTCTTTTCTTTGGAATAAGCCAAGAGGGAGGAGTTTAAACAAAGGCCCTTTCCACATAAAAAATGGAAGCTTTTGCAGAGAAGCCATGGTGTCCTGCTCTCAACACTACATGCTGCCGTTTCTGCTTCTAAAACCTTCAACTAAGACGGTTGTTTCCTGATTCTGCTGTTGGAAGCTACAAAGCATTGTTCCATGGGTTTGTATGTCAGAAATACTCGCAGTAATCACAATATTTTGTGGTTTTAAGACCTAGCTCTGTGCTTATTTTTCTTCCCCTGTCTCTGACTCTCACAGTGCTGCCCCTGCCTGCACTGAACAAAGATAATTACTCAGGAAACATTTCGGCCAATCAGGCGCGGCCTTGCATCTTGCTCGTGAGGAAAGCGACCAGTCAGGATCTGGCTAACATCACCGGGGCCTGATCGCCTTGCCTGAAGAGCGGAGCCTTCCCCGACTGAGGGCTGAGAGTGTCCTCCATGTTTTATAAGTGTTGACATAACAGTGTGTCAGGCAGCCATGCATCCACAGAGGTAAGCTCTGTCTTTTTTATCTCAGACTTCTGATAACAACATGGCTTCCTTCTTCGTGTTGTGCTGACTGTTGGTTTCTAATGATGAATGCGCACACCTTAAAGTCAGTTTAGTGTGCAGGAGGAGGAGGAGCTGGGGTGGATTGGAGGCCTCGTAAGGCCTCTGTGCTCCACAGTGCTGAGGGTGGGAGGGTGGGGGTTGGCTAACGACTCTCACCCTTGTTCTCTCTCTATGTCTCAGGGTCACATGAGTGCCCCAGACAACCAGCCTGCCATACAGGAGGCAGAGTGGACCATGAAAAATCCTTTTATTTTTTTAGAATGCAAAAGAGAGTTGGATTTTAAAATGGCACACACATCTCCTTTCTGTTGTGGGAGTGTTTGTGTTTTTTTTTTTTTTAGAATGGCAGAGGAAGAATGGGGGATGGGCAGTGGAGGAAAGGGTGTATTATGTACTGTTTCTAAGTGGATTGGCTCTGTGGTGTTTTCTTGTGTCATGCCAGGATGGGGACTACATGCAAAGGGAAACAGAAGTGCATGCTAGGAGGGCAGAGTGCGCAGGGCATCACGTCATTGTAACATTTTTATGTACACATATGTGAAAAATATCTAGAACATGAAAACTGTAGCACAGTGTATACACATTTAGGAAAGCTGCACTAAGACTGGGTTTTCTACAGTCCATACTAGTCAGAGGCCACATTACATACAAACACTTTGTGACAGGGGTAATCCCCTTCCAGTTTTTCCAGTGTAATCTTTATAAACTGGTTGCCTCTATTTACACTCATAGGCCTGGAGTTTATTGCCCCTGGCTTCTGCAATTCCACAGTGCTGTTGTGAAACTGCTTCCTACGCTCTCAGCCAGGCAGTAGCCATTTTGTGCTGCTGTCTTCACAGATCACACGGCATAAGCAAATATAACACACTACTAAATAACATAAGACAGACATATATTTTTAAATGTTTCAAGTCAAATCAGTTTAATGTGAATAGCACATTTCAAACAGAGTCAAGCAGAATGCTTTACATAAGTATCAACTGCATTTGAACAGCTGCTAAAAGTGTCGTTAAGAAGGATTGTTCCTTCCAATAACCTGTCATGCTGTCCACATCATAGTCGGTACGTTGTGTTTTGTCATGTTGCACCATTTTAGCAGTCTCAGCTGTGCCGGGGAAACAAAGAATGATTTCTTTTTCTTGTGGCCTGACGCAAGGCTTTTTTTTTTTTCATGTAGGCAACATTCAGAAGAGAGTAAGGTTATAATCAGGAAATTACTCGTAGTTTAAAAGATTGCTATCTGTGAAACCAAAACCAAAACCTTTACTACGCCACAATGCCTGATTGAGAATTTATGTTAAAATGTGTAATTATTAAATTTTAGATGGATATATGTGGGGCAAAGCTCTGAGCCTCTTTCTGTAGCATTGCAGGCTATAGAGAGGGTGACAGAGGTTGAATAGCACAGACACTGAGTTGTGCATGACAGCCACAAGGCTTTTTTTAAAACATTAAAGGAAAACAAAAAGCCCCCTGGTTTTATGCTGTCATAATCACAAATTATCAAACAGAACCGAAGGAAAATAAATCGTCTGAGGCAGAGGGAAATCTCTGCATTGCAGCAAAAACGCTTTTTAAGAGGAAGAGGGGAGCCTGCATACTGTGATCTGTGTGGCATAACACAGCGACCAATAAAGTTCCACCCTGTTGGCCCTCCAGCCAATTGCAGCTGCAGTTGAGGTTAAAGATTGACAATCCGAGGGAGAGCAGCAGGGAGAGCAAGGCCTTCTGGAAAATTCCACAGCCATCTTTGATTCACCCTTTACAGCCTTTTATAAGATCCAGGTCATTTTTTTTTTCTTTCGTACAGAATACGCTGTGTATACTACTAGCAGTATACTGATTAAGTGCTGGGAGTTGTGCTAGATCAGGCACCTTAATTTACTTAAAGTCATTGTTTAATGAAATGCTTTTATTTCCCAGGAAAAGCAAAAGCTAATCCTATTCATTTCTTCAGTTGTCTGCATGTGTTTGTTGCTCTCATGAAAGCCGGTTGTTTCTTGTCGTATTGCTAAATCAAATAATCTCTCTAGGGTTTTGTGTAGCAGACCGTGTAGGATACCTTTTCTTTTTCGCAGATGTTTTCAGTGGCATCTCTAATATGATGCAATATAATGAGTGCAGTATGGTGTTCGCATTCAGTTGCATTTCTGGATTTCCAGACGGAGCCAGACATTTATCTGTTTAATGTGTGAAAATTGTTTATTGTTTTTACATGTAGAGAAGCTTTTTCATGCAGCTTTGCCAGGACCTGACTGTGGTTTTAGAGTGGTGGTCTGTGTTTCTTAAAAATGAAATCTAATTATTCCATGACAGCAGTATTCACACAGAAGGAGGGAAGCCAAGATTGAATACAGGGAACAAAAAAAACCAAAAAAAACCCAACACACACGGATGAGAGCTTCTGACTTTGCTGGATTTTCCTGTGTCTCCCTCCCTGTGTTTCGCCTCTGTCTCTGTCATTGGCCGTGAGGCTTTGCCCCGACATAGACCATGTTTTTTTCGTAATGTTGGACTGTAATCTCCACAGATCTCTCTGGTCCTCCTGCATGGATGTGCCAGTGCCCGAGTCTCAGCCTTGGAGTGGGGGATGGGGGAGAGGGGGGAGGGGAGCAAGCTGTGGCCTCCATTTTCTGTGACGAGAGAACCCTGCTCGTCTCTCACAGGAGTGGAATCTAAAGACATTGATTCAGTGTTGTTTCCTTTTTGTCCGTCAGGTACTTCAGTACTTACTGAGTGGGAATACTGTGTTTTCTTGCACCTGACTATTATGGAATATATCTCAGAACCTGCTAAGGATTTATTTGTTTAAATCTTCTTATTTGATGGATCATAGCTCCTAATCTGAGAATGCACTTTGGATCTTCATACTTTTTTTTCTTTTTCCTTTTAACTTCTGCTAATCCTGTTTTCTTTGTAGTTGCATAAATGTCTTGCCATTGGTGTTGAGAATGTGTATTATAGGGTTATTTGGCAGCTCAGGGCTGCTTGGTGATGGCGAATGTTCTTTTATAGGGCTGTGGCACACGTAGCAGAGTGAACTGGCTAACGGTTTCTTATTTTCATGTGGGCCTCATTTGTTCACGCAGTCCGGAACAGGAAGGCCCCGGAGGGGTTGGGGTGTGTGTGACTGAGGCTGTGTATGTGCATTTGAAACTACAGGCTAGATGATACTAGATACCCAAATGCCACGAGAAACTCTGCTCAACCCATGTTTGTCACTTTTTCAGACAATGCAAGCTATGCTTGTATTCTCTCAAGTTTCAGATAAACCATCGGTGACTTGAATGTTTTTAGGAACTGCTGGTGATTGTGAGCCACAGTGTATTTTCTTTTGCCACAGTGACAAACTTTAATCTTAAACCCCTTTGTCGATACATCGTGGTTTACTTGGTGTTATGAGCAAACGTTTATGAGTAAGCGTAACATCCAGATGAACAGAATCAACTTTTTTGGATAACTGAGCATGCATCAAGACGTTACAAGCATAGGTTTACTAGCCATTATGCTCATATGTAATCGTAATTTGTTTTATTGATCAAACTCGTAGGATTTGCATTTTGAACCCTCCTTGCCTCTCAGTGAGCTGACATTTGTTTTAACTTTTTAATGGAATGTCTCTTTAAGGATGGAGGAGGGGACATGCAGAGCATTCCTTTAGTTTCAGAACTGAAAAAAAAAAAAGATTATCCCACAAATGTGGTTGACCTTTGAGTTCTACCCCGAAAACCACTCATCCTAGCGGGAAACCAGAGCTGTAGCCAAAGCTATGATCTGGTCAAGTGTGTGACCTGTCAGGGGTCTGTGGGTGGGTTTTCTTCTCTAGGCTTTTCAATAAAGGCTACATCCTTGGAACTAGGCCCTCTGTGGCTCTCACAAAGGAGGAGCCAAACACTCAAAGACCTTCATTTATTGCCAGACCCTCTTTATTCCTGTCTTTTTTCTTTTTTTTTTTGCCTCAGAGGAAGTGGGGTGCTACGCAAGAGCAAAGGGAAATCACTCATTTCCAGTGTTGCATTTTTAGGTTTTGGATTTATTTATTAATTTAAAAAAGTGTTTGCCACTTTATAAACAAAGACATAAAATAGTGCCAGAAATGACAGAAGATTTAATGTGACCATAATTAGGATCTAGGCCAGAAAGGTGTTGTCAGATGAGCGTTTGAAGTTTATTAGATATATCTCTTCCTACTGGTCTCTAACAATGGGCCCAAATCCTTCAGGGGTATTCTGTTGTTACTGAAGGGGCTTGAGAGGTGCTGTTATTTGCCATGGGGGGCTGTCCCTTCAGTGGTATGTACCAACTCTCTGTGGATTTTTCTTTTCTTTTTTTGTTGCTACAGATCTATAGCTCTATACACTATATGTCAAAGAAAGCACTGTTTGAATATTGTGACCTAGTTGGACTAAAATGCTATGACTGCAATGTAAGGACAGAGGTGCAGGGTAATTACAGCTAAATGGCCCTACGTGTTGTTGCAAATCTCAGCTTGTGCTTAGCGGAGATCAGCGTTACCATGGTGACATTTATCATCCTTTCTCTTGGAGGATAAAGAACATTTGCAGACTCCATTGTAGATGATAATATGGAAAGTATTTTAATTTCATGAAACAAAGTGGGAGATGTTGTAAAATCAAATGAAAACAACAACAATGGAAATCAGCAGAGTCCCTGTTGACAGATCCTCTGGGACCCGGGTGCCTTAGGTGGTGTTCCACTTGTTTACTGCTATGCTGATGTGGTTTCTGAACACCCTTTCTGACTTTGTGTTTGTCTCTCTTTCTGTGTTTCTGTGTGCTCCTGTTCGGTGCTCTGCAGTCTGGCTGAGGAGGAGATAAAGACAGAGTCTGATGTGGTAGAGGGAATGGATGCATCTGTGCGATCCAAAGGTAAGTCTCTAAGGCCGAGGACCTCACATTAGGAGCCAAGCATCCAACACAGCTCAGTTACAGTAAATAACCTCTACCTTCTCTGTATGTTTTGAGGAGAAGAGTCTTACGGTAATACGTTTTGCTGGTCTCTTAGGATCCATTTTTCCTGACAGTCTGCCTGCTGAATCTACACGGGGTGTAGTTAGTTCTGAGGAAGCCCTCTAGCCATTTATTATGATGAAATAGTAATTTGACGTGTATAAGTGTTGTCTTCAGTAACTGCTTTTCAGACTACTGTGATTGCTGTGTTAGATGGAATATAGTGCTGAACACTGAATCTATTGTACTGCTCGCTTGAAAATTAATAACTTCAAAATACTGTTCCTCCCTCGGTTTCTCAAGGGAAGACGTGTGGGTCGATGACAGTGATGTATAATAGTTTTATAGTTTTGGTTTTTTTGTCCTCTTTTTGGTAATTATTATTTTTCTTAAGCTTATGTAATGTGTTGGCTGTAAATACATTGAACATTACAAGCTTGACTCCTATTGTGTGATGACACAATTATCTTTATGTATTCAGTCCCTGATCCACCAGGGTCAGCAGAAAGATCAGTGGCACCACAGAAACGAAAGGTGTCGAGTCCCACCCATTCCTCCAATGGGCACTCTCCCTCAGACATCTCCCCCAGCCCTCTTAAGAAGAAGAAGAAGCCAGGGGCCTTGAATTGTAACAACAAAGACCAGGTAAGGGCTCTTGTAAGTGCAAGTTCATTTTGAAATCAGGTGTGTTCTCAAAGGCTATTTATTTATCCAATTTCAATAATGGGCCATATACTTTCATAGAATGTTAAGGCCAGGGTTGTGCCTGAAAAGAACCATTTCATATGATGTGCTATCTGACCACATCAGAAATCAGATATGTTTATGGTCAATCTAACCGCTGTATAAATACAGCCATGATAAAGTGTATTTTCAGGGTCTTGAATGGGAAGCGTTTAGTGTTATTTATTTTTTGCCTCATGCTTCCACAACTAATGTGTACAATATATGGAAAAAAAAATTGCACTGCATACAGTTGGCAGATTATACCTTCCACTTCTGGAAGTCTGCTAGGGTCTGTTCGAGTGACGTGAATTTCATCATCAGACAGTTAGTGGGAGGATTGATGCAGATGTCCGTGTACTTGCGTTACAAAGCACCAAGTACATATGCTTCCCAGGCAGCACAGTCCAAGTAGACGTTAAAGATGTATAACAGGATTGACTAGTTGGCTTTCGGGTCTTCAGCTGTCTGTGTAAATGCCAGGCTTTAGCCAGTTGTTGGTTTTGAACATGAAGGGTGAGACGGAGACCTCCTTGTCCATCATCAAAGGAGATGAACTAGGGGGAGGGGGTATCTGAGGGTATTCAACAAGAATATGTTACCAGATGTATTGGTGCTATAGTCCCAAGTCAGAATTGTCAAATAGACAACTCAAGTTGGTTTTGCAGCTCGGAAAGTCAGAGCAGCCCCACCAACAGTGACTTAACAATCCAAGGTGGCAGCTGTGAATGTAAACCGTAGTAAAATTTCAGAGTTTTTTAAAACTATACTGCCACTGTTTTGTATTTGTGATTCGCCAAATAAGGGAAAGCAGCAGTATTTCATTTTTAAACTGCAGAAATCAAGCATTGCTAGCTTGATGCATAAATGGCTGTCTTCCTAACAAGCAAAGCAAAGCCTGTTTTCCTTGTCTTTCCAACTTTACTGGAATGGTAGTGAGCTTTGACATTTTTGACCAGCGTTGAGTTTCAAGGTATACAGAACCCAGCAATAGTCTAATCTAAGTGCCATATACTGCCTGTGAGAACACACTGATTTTGATCATAATCTCTTGAATACTGGCCATTTTTAAAGTAGACCCACCATACAGGAATGTGAGCTGCCACAATTCACATGAATATATTATTTTGGAAACAAGTCGTTTAATGCAACGTGAGTCGCCAATGGTCATTAACGTTGACATTTAGTACCAAATAGCCTAGATGGATATGGTTTTTATTGTTTGCTTGGTGGATAATGTAGTGTTGCGTGATTCCTTTTAGTCTAGTACATGATATTGAAAGCTAATTTAGCCCCTGTTGTATAATTTGACAGGTATCTGACGTGCGCATAGTTATGTCTTCGTGGCACTGTTGGAATACATGCTTTGGCTCTCTGGGAAAGGTCAAATAAGTAGCAGATGGATTTTAACACCACTCAAATTGAATGCCAAAGACTTGAATTTGGGCAAAGAAAGACTCTTTTGAGCCATCTATCAACTTGTATTCATGTAGTAACATGTTAACACTAAGATACCATTTAGGCATTTACCAGAGAGCCACATCATGCAATGTTTACTCTTTAGGTTTAAGGTGAGCCATGTCTCAGCTTGCACTGTAGAACCTGTTTGGTTAGTATTGATTTTATTTGAAGCCATTACATGACTAGATGTTCAGACTATTAACTGATTTTCTTAAAACAATTTTGTTGGACTGATTGTCTTTATTACCTTCTATGCTGCTTACCCTGCTTATCCCAGCTTGTTTCTGTTGCACTGCACCTTTTTGTGTTCCTGCGTGTTTTTTGAAACCTGCCCCCTTGTTTCTCTTGCCTGCATTTCAGTCAGAGCTAAGACATGGTCCCTTTTACTATATGAAGCAGCCAGCACTCACCACAGACCCTGTTGATGTTGTACCGCAGGACGGCAGGAATGACTTCTACTGCTGGCTGTGCCACCGCGAGGGCCAGGTGCTCTGCTGTGAGCTCTGCCCCAGGGTGTACCACGCCAAGTGCCTCAAACTACCAGCTGAGCCCGAGGGCGACTGGTTCTGTCCAGAGTGTGAGGTATCTTGCTGTAGTCATGTGCATTTATGTGGGTGTACACAAGTAATTGTGGAACTGTGTGCCATGAACAGCAGAAACTACCTTTCAAACTCATGGCTCATGCTTCTGTGAGCACAAGAGACGACATTAGAAGATTAAAGTTTCACTTCTACGTGTATTTGTTACACAATTCTTCAATTTGGGATACACTAACTGAATCACAAAAAGTGATTTAAATTTTACGCAGTTTTAGATATGAATAGTATCTCTTTAGTTTACCAATTATTGTCTTGTTTCTTTATTATTATTTTGTTGCAGAAAATTACAGTCGCTGAATGCATTGAAACCCAGAGCAAGGCGATGACAATGCTGACAATAGACCAGCTCTCCTATTTACTCAAATTTGCACTCCAAAAGATTAAACAGCCTGGGGTAAGGGGTTTCTTCAAGTCTTTATATGCCCAGTTGCGTTTTGCAGATTCAACCAAAGATTCTGGAAACATCCATGAGGAAAGTGTAATTCATGTGTGCTTATTTCCTGTTTGTCTAATCTGAGCAGACTGAGCCCTTTCAGAAGCCTGTATCTCTGGAGCAACATCCAGATTATGCAGAGTACATCTTCCACCCCATGGACTTATGTACTTTAGAGAAGGTACTCGTATATAGATTTTTTTTTTTTTTCTGGAGAAGTATTAACAATAAAAAAACAAAACTAGAATTAGAATAAAACATGAGGTAAATATGCATATAAAATGCTGGCAAAAGTGCAGTTGCTTGACTGATATTATTATTTTCACTGTACTATAGAATGTAAAGAAGAAGATGTATGGCTGTACTGAAGCTTTTCTTGCTGATGTGAAATGGATCTTGCACAACTGCATCATCTATAATGGAGGTAGGCAACTTTGATGTACGTCATTACTCCCTTTACTGTCGTAAGAATATATAAATTAAGCTTGTGTGTCGTTTCCAGGCAATCACAAATTAACAGCAACTGCGAAAGTCATTGTCAGGATCTGTGAACATGAGGTAAAGCAACTTTAATTACTTGGTGACATTTTTGTAAATGTGTCTTATTTATGGACTTGCATCATCTTCATTTAATACTTTTTTTTTCTTTTCTTTTTTAGATGAATGAGATTGAGGTGTGTCCAGAGTGCTACCTGTCCGCATGCCAAAAAAGGGACAACTGGTTTTGTGAGCCCTGTGTAGGTCTTTACATTAATTTAAATCCATAAAAGTAACAGATTTTTTTTATACGTTTTAGCTTGGATATCAGCTTTGTGAAGCACAGTATTTTACTGTTTTGCTCTATCCAACAGAGTCAACCCCACCCCCTGGTTTGGGCTAAGCTGAAGGGCTTTCCATTCTGGCCAGCAAAAGCACTTCGTGAAAAGGATGGGCAAGTAGATGCACGCTTCTTCGGGCAGCACGACAGGTGAGATGAACCTTTTGGGCACTATAGAGGAAACTCTCCTTGTTTTAGAGGTTTAGAAAAGACCCGAGTTGCTGCATCTCCACTGGATATTAAATGTATTAAAACATTATTTTGTTCTGTTGTTGCATTTCCACATAGGGCCTGGGTTCCCATCAACAACTGCTACCTCATGTCCAAAGAGATCCCTTTCTCTGTAAAGAAAACAAAGAGCATTTTCAATAGTGCCATGCAAGAAATGGAGGTCTATGTGGAAAACATTCGCAAGAAGTTTGGAGTCTTCAACTACGCACCCTTCCGCACTCCGTACACCCCCAACAACCAGCTACAAATGCTGGTGGACCCTTCCAACCCCGGTGCTGGTACAGTGAAAACAGAGAAATCAGATAAACTTCGCTTCAACTTTGATATAACCGCTTCTCCTAAGATGGTCCTCAGCAAGAGTAGCACACCCAGCAGTATGAATCGGCGGGTCTCAATGACAGACATGCCTCGGTCTCCCATGAGTACAAACTCTTCGGTTCACACAGGGTCTGATGGAGAGCAAGATGTGGAAAAGGGCAACAGAAATCCTGCACTCCATTACAGCACTGGAGAGGAATCAATGGACTGTACTGGTAAGTCTTCTCCACTCTGGTTGCATTAACTCTATTTATGTGATTTTAACTTATTTTATTCACCATTATAAGCTTTTTTTCTTTTTGTTGCTTTTTAAAAAAATAAAATAATCTTTTTATTACAGCATCTCCTGTTTCAGGGAAGATGGGTCCTGCAGGCAGCGTGTCAGGTAGTCCAAAGCCCTTTAACCCTGGACTGGTGCCAAAGCAGGAGAGGACTGCAGGGACAGGTGGCATCCTCAATCTCAACCTGGGTCAGTAACAAAAAAGCAAAGAGAGACCGCATTTATGTTCTTACAAAGGCTAATAATCAAAAAGTACTTAATAATTAATGAATTTGTGATTAAACAAACATTTACATGTTCATTTCAGATCGAGTCAAGGCTGAAATGGATCTCAAAGAGCTGAGTGAGACTGTTCAACAACAGCAGCAACAACAAGGAGTCCCTGCGCCCCCTTCTACTCCAAAGAGACCCATCAGGAGCTTGGACAAGACTATTGAAAGCTGCAAGGCACAGCTTGGTACATACAAAACCAGTTTGTGACATGACTTGCTGCAGAACTCTATTCTTGTACTGTACTAGTCATTTGAACTTGCCAATGTAATGATTAATAACAAATCTAGGAAATTTAAGTTGTGGATTATTTCTCAAGACTAATTTGAATTTGGCAATTTTACAAATGCATCACGGCAGTTCTGACTCTCTAATCAGTGGCGGTCATGCCTGTGTGACTGCTGCTGACTAGGGTTTATTAAGCTATTACCAGAGAAAGGGTTCATTATTTCTTTCTATTTGCTTCTGACAGAAAGAAATTAACACAATGTCCATTTCTTAATATAGGTATTGATGAGATATCTGAAGATGCGTATAAAGATGTGGATCACAGTGACTCTGAGGACTCTGAGAAATCAGATTCAAGTGACAGCGAGTATCTCAGTGATGAGGAACACAAGCCAAAAAATTCAGCTCAGGAGGACAAGGACAAAATGGAGAGAAAAAGGTCTAAAGCAAGCACTGATGGAGAGAATAAGGAAGGAGCTGTGGTAACGGGGGATAAAGCCACCCCGGAACCCCCACTCAAAGAGAAGCAGGGTAGCAATGGCCCAGATAGAGACCTCAAGGACAAGCCCAGAACACCCCAGTCTCAACCCCTTGCTGACAAACCCAAAGCCCCAGAGGATGTCAAAGCAGCTGCTAATACATCAGCAGCTGAGCAGGACTCTGATTCTGAAAGAGAGCTTGTGATTGACTTAGGGGATGAACATGGAGGTCGTGACTCAAAGAGGGCGAAAAAAGAGCTGGGATCTTCCACTGCCAAAGCTGCCAAAGAGTCTAATGTTGCCAAGCTGGAAGGTGAGGCTTGTTGTTTGTTTTTTTTTGTTTTTTTGTTGTTGTTTTTTCGGGGGGGGGGGAGTTATACGAAACATCAGAGTGTCAGGTATGTGGGAATTGCACAAGTTAAGGCATGATGTGAAAGACCATGAAAACCTTCAGATTAAAGTGTGCAGTGTTTCTCTGCTAGGTGGAAGACTATGTAGGTGACGTAAGGGTAGTCATGAGCTTATTGATTGAGTTGATGCACAAACAGGGTCTACATTGAAGAATTGTCGCAATCTTAACTGCGATTATCACAGAAGTCAACCTCTAAAGTCTGCAAAACAACATCTGGATAAGCTGGAATTGTTTTGGAAAGAAGGGCTGTGGGCAGAGGAAGTTAAGTTTGAGTGTTTTGGCCACAATGACAAGCAGG